TCTGAAGTATAATTTTTTATTGTTTTTATATTTTTCAATATATTTATTTTGTTTGTACAAAATAAAAAAATAATTTTGAACGATACAATAGTCTTCGTTAGGCTTAACATCGACGAAAATTCAACGCGAAGCGACACGCAACGGAGAAAAATTTTAACACGGGATAAATTAATATATTTTTTCGTACGTAATTGGTTATCCGAAAAATAGGTTATCCGAACAACCCCAGTCCCCAATTGATTCGGATAAACGACGCTCTACTGTAGTTACATAACAATGAAAGCATTAAATTTTATATAGTAACTGATTAAATATCAGTTATTAGTAAGTAATGAGATTGTTTATTTAATTAATTGTTGGTTGTTTTACAAATTTTAGGTATACAATGCATTATATACCGTATTCAACATGTTGCTACAGATTAGAGACATCTGGTTGGGAGTAGATTCGAAATGTGTTGCTTCGAAACATTCAATTTCACCTCTCAATGCTACAGAGACGGTTTCTCAGAAATGAATACTGCAACAAAATCGATTAAGAAGTTAGAGATTTAGTACAAATTTTAACAAAGTTAGAGTTTAACAAAACATCAAATTCACTAAGGTATTAAGAATCCTACTACACTGAATACGTTACCATTGCACTGATTAGAAATGTATAATTAGAGAAAAATTATATTCTACCTGCAATGATGAGATGTATTCGCACTGAAGTGCATTAAGACATTCATATTTGTAATAATTTTTAAATTAATTTTAGGTGGTGAATGTTTCACATCTTTAAGCTGAAATATAATAGAGTTATTACAAAAAATAAAAAGCTACAAGTGCAGCCTATAAGTGCGCTGTAAATCAATGTTCTCTGTCATGGAATGCCCGAAAACATTGATTTACAGGAGACCAAACGGAAAATGTTTACATTTTTTTTTCCTTTTTTTTGTTATTGGAATGATAGTTTAAGTTTATTTAATTCCTAGTGTTATGGCCATGACATCAAAATGGCGGTAAAAATCAAATACTTGTGAACAATCTCGATATTTACTTCATAACTATTATATTTCTTGATTGTGTTCATATGCGACTTTAAATATTTTATTGACGACTTAAACGTATTAAACGATAATTTTTGTACTATATTTGTATTTATCTCCAATAATTACATGTTATTACAAAGTCCATTATAAATAATTGTAAACAATAGAATAATAAAACCACTTTTTACTAACCTTTAACATGCAGTCTTTTTATTAACGAATAATGAAACAGTCAGAGAAAAATTCAATTATGTAAAATTAAAAGTTGAAACAAAGTTTAATACACTTTGGTTCAACAGATAAGCAGATTTTCAGGAGAACACTTTGTCGTATGGCAATAAAATTGACTTGGTGCCGGACAGACAAAAGTGATCGTCGCATTTGTTGGACNAAAAATAGTTTATGATAAAATTATTATTGATGGAACGAAGTACTTTTACGATGTTGATTGTGACCAGGTTAAGCCTGTTTCATCCTAGCAACTACCGGATAGGGGTACTTCATTTTTGATTTGGAATTATGCTGATTTATTTCATAAATCTGAGTCTTTTTGGACATATTTATTGCAGTATGATATTGTATTTCTTTCTGAAACCTGGTATGGCTCTACTAATAGAAATTTGGACTTAACTAATTGTTTGCAAGGTTATAATCTTTATTTTGGAAAGCTTTTAAGTTGCACACGAAAGGTCGTTATTGTGCAGGCTGGTTATTAGCAATAAGATCCTCTTTTCCCTGTGTTGTTTTTTATCAAGATGACTTTCTAATACTTGTCAAATTTGATGCCGAACTTAATAATATTTTGGTATGTTTTGTTTATTTTCGGAAAAATAACTGGCAGTCTATTTTTGATACTTTAACTGGTTTGATATTAGATAATAGGAATGTATTGATCGCTGGTGACTTTAATGTTAGGATTGGATTGGAGAATATGATTTCTGACGCATTTTGCAATTCTTTTGATATTGTTTGTCTTTTGCATAGGAATTCGAAAGACTTGGTGACTGATTCTTGTGGTAGAAAGTTGTTTAATTTATGTGATGATTTAAATATGAATATTGTTAATGGAGATGAAGCGGGTGAATATTCTTTTATCTCTAGTAATGGTTGTTCTGTTATTGATTTGGTTATAGTTTCTCCGTTAACTTGGAAAGATGTTCTCTCTCTTCAGGTGGATCAGTTTTTGGATTCCGACCATAACCCATTGATTTTACGACTGGCTTGTGGTAATGATAGATCGGTCTCTTCCGAAAATAAACAGAGGATTAATAGACTGTTTTGGGATGAATCCAGAAAAGACGAATTAAGGTTGCTTTTGGAGGAAATATGCATTATGAATAAGTTTGATTCAATGGAAGACCTGAATAATTGTCTTTTTAGTGTGGCTTGCAAGAGGGGATTTAATATTAGGAGTCATGAGAATTTTTTCTCATGGTGTGATTCGGACTGTAGGATGCTAATTAGTGCTAGGAATAGAGTCTGGAGATCTTTTAGGAAGAGTAATGATTCTAATGATCGTTTGCGCTTTGTTAGGTTACGAAGTTTGGTAAAACGGTTTTGCATTGCGAAAAAAAATCATTTGCTGGTAAAATTCAGAATTGTTTTAGAAAAGATAATAGACTTTTTTGGAATTATTTTCGTCATGTTAAGCAGGCTCAGTCTCGTAATTTTAGCTTTATTCCTATTGATGATTGGTTTCATCACTTTTTTAATTTATTTGGTTTCTTGGATCCTTATTTTGCGGATATTTCGATTTTTAATTATTGTAGGAATTGGTATGATGAACTTTTGGACCATGAATTCTCTATAAATGAGCTTAATGATGCTTTAAGGAGGTACAAGCCAAATAAGACTTTAGGTTTTGATGGGATCCCAATAGAATTTTGGAATTTTGAGCCGTTGAGACCACATCTTTTGAGTCTTTTCTCAAAGATTTTTGATACTAGGATAATACCGGAGTCTTGGAAGACGAGTATTTTAATTCCGATTTATAAGAATGGTAGGAAGGATGTTCCTGGTAATTATAGAGGTATCTGGTTATCATCTTGTGCTTCGAAATTGTTTTGTATTATTCTATATAGAAGGTTGACTCGATGGTTAGAAGTTAAAAATATATTGCATGAAAATCAGGCAGGTTTCAGGGCTAGCTATTCCACATTAGATAATATTTTTGTTTTGTATAAGGTTATCCAAAAAACTTTTTTACGGAAACGTAGGAAAGTGTATGCATTTTTTGTCGATTTATCTTCTGCGTTTGATAG